CGATTCTATCAAAGTCATCTTCAATCCCTGTAATTTTTCTCCCGGTTCTTTATTCTTTAGAGAAGTGCGTTTTGGCTGCATTAATTATCTTCTTCTATTTTTGCTGTTTTTCGCAGTATTTATTCTGGTTTCTAATATTTTTCACACTTCTACTTATCAAAATTTCGATTCTGAAACTCAATTCCGAGGGGCTACAAGTTACGGACCTGGGGTTCTAGATTTCAATGGAACTTTTTTTGGTGATGCCAGACAGAAAATATTTGAACCAAATTTCATAACAATCGAAAAATAAAAACTTTTTAGTGAAAATTCCGCTATGGTTAGAGCCAACAATTTTTGATCGAAATTTTACATAATTACTCAAAAATTTTGTCATTGAATATGAAGTAAAGTTCTCTAAACTTTTATTACTGAAAATGATGATCTCTCAGATTAACTATAACCCCAAGGTCGATGGCGCATGCTCCCTCCCAAGAAATTGTATTGCTCTTTCTCCTTGAAACTGAAGAGTGCGGAAGTAAAATTATAAATAATAAAAAAAAAAAAGTAGAATTATAAAATTGTAGTTTATATACAATTATACTATTTTTTTTTTTTTTTTTATTAGTTCCTGTTTTCTCCCCTTCCTCGCCTTTTACTCTATACGGGGTTTTCCCGGGCCAAGAGGTGAAGGCGGGGAATAATGGTAGCGTTAAAAGCCTCCCCGGCACCGGGAAGCGAACTCGTATTTATGTGAATCCCACATTGTTCCCTCCAAAAATTGATAACTACGTCAAAAGTTGTCCTCCTCGAATGTCCAAATTCTGTAGAAAATTACTCTCTCCAAAATTTTGTTGCCACAACTTGCTATACTCTCTTCCCCACGAGCTTATGATAAAACAACTTATTTATTAATTTATCATATTTATTTTTAAACATTTAGTAGCTTTTGTTCAATTGAAGTAATATCTGAATTTTAAGTACATACCTAATGTCGAGTTTTAAAATTGTTCATCCATATGATGTCGCGAATTCTATATAAAATTTATGACAAGAAAAAATTTACTTCATGAAAATTAATTCTTCAGTCTTCAGCTGGAAAAATTTGTAGTGAATAATTACGAGGAAACTCAAGTAGGCATTTAGCATTCAATAATCAAATAGGCTCATTATGCAAAAACCACATGAGGAAATCTGATCAACAAATTTAGGAAAAACATCTTGTGGTTTCTATTTTTTTTTATTTTTTCTCTTGGTCTCTGATCTCAGTCGTTTCTCATTGATATGCCTCTTTGGGTATATTGAGTTTTTCAATTCGGTAAAAGCATCTGTCGATTTAGATCAAATTTAAAACGCTCTCTAATCCACTGAGCGTATAAAGTGGCTTACATCTTGAACATACCAGATTATTTCCTGTAAAAATTCAACTTACTTTAATTTAAAATTAGTTTCACTCTTCACTATATTCAAAATGCGGTAATCGTTTTTCATATTAATTTTTATTATTCTTTTGTTCTTATTTTTACCACCCGTTAGGAAGCGGTGGTAGATCATTGAGTATAAGGCGATGTGCTTCTATTCTTGCAGGCAGAGGTGTCCTCATAGTTGGAACATTATCAGGAAAAATTACTATTATGATGAAATATTATTATGTTAAGTAAATTAGTATTGGAGAATATAATTTGGCCCACATTTAATATTTACTTTACAAGTTTTCTTTAAAGGAAAGGTGAGTTTTAGTAAATAATTTATTATAATAAATCCAAGGATACAGAAAAATAAAAGAAACAGAAGGTCAGTAATAAATTCTTATAATTATTTTGCTAAAATTACCGATCCTTTGAGAAGATATAATTTCAAATCTCATATTTTACATAAATAGGCGATTCTTGATCTTACTTTTAATATACCCCAACTTAATTAATATGTACTTGCAGCTTATTGAACAAAGGGTTTTTCTTAAATTGGGAAATTCGTAGTCCAGCAGAAGACAAATAAAATAAAATCGTTAATAATCCATAATTTACAGAATAAAAGATTTTAAAAAAATCCTTAAAGTTTATTAACAAAAACAAATACTACTTTTATTAAAGAAAATTGTATCTGTTTAAAGGTGTGTAAATGGGAACGTCATAACTTTTTTTTTTCCAGTCTCCCCTTTGTTGCCTTTTAGGCTGCACGGATTTTTCCCGGTCCGAGGGGGAGGGCAGGGGACTTACGCCGAGTTAAAAGTCCCACCGTACATAGGGATTTGAACTCTTAATTATTTGTTTCACTCAAAAACTTCGGTTATCAGGTGGCCGGGCAACGCACGGTGCTGTGCACACGCATTAGCCCGCTCGTCCACTCCGCCCCCAACTTTAATCGTTTTTAACTATCGCACTATATTTAACATAAAACGTGACAGCTTTGAAAATATTTAATAAATATTATAACATATTCAATTTACTCCTTTTTGTATCACAGCTCTAATGAACTTTTTCGTTGTATTTGAAGTCTGCTCTCACTCCCTTAAATTTCAGGTATTATTTATGTTACACTCATTAGATATTTTAACACTGTACGACCAAGGAAGAGTTTGGATTTCACTACTTTGTAAAGAAGTAGTTTTTATAGGCTTTGGATTGTAAAATATAATTTGGATGGGATCAAACTCAATCGCCAGATACTTCCTGCAATAAAGAGCATCCATTTAATAAAGGCTGAGTGTGCCTCAGGACTACGAGTCTTATCCAGATTGGAAGCTAGGAGTCTTTCGAACTGAAGCCCCTCCATCCCTCCCCCTCTTCTAAACTTAATTTGTTTTTTTTTTTCACTGCGGTATATTTGTTTCTTTGAGTAATTTGTGCTAAATACGCAAACAATCATAACATGTACTCTTTTGAAATTATTGTGCATATAAGAACTTTTTAAAAAAACTTATCTTTAAGAGCATTATTTTTTCCTGCAATTAACGTGTATTTTTTAACAATCCTGTAAGTACCACTTCGATTTCATTTTGAAATTGAAATTCAGTTTCTTTATTTTTTTCTTCTATTCAGGTTAAATACCATAAAAAAAAAAATCCCTCAACAAATTAAATCCTGGATGTGCTACTGCCTCAGGAAGATCTCCCGACCTAAGTTTCGATCTACGGCTGATATAAGAGAATTTTATTTATTTTTATTTCAAGTCTGATTTGTTTTTCGGAAACACAGATGTCGACTAAAAATAACCTAAAATTATATTATTATATTTAACATGTAAACAGATTTTCAAATTTTAAGTGAAAAAATAATTTTAGTAAATATTAATATTCTCTATTTTAAATTCTATATTGAATACGGCAATACGGTTATTTACATCAGCGGGATGTTACTGTTATATAGCAACACACGACTGCATTTTTAAATAACTTGAATTTTTACTAATCAGTTTATTTTTTTTTTTAATATTCTCCCCTTCCTTGTCTATTTAGGCAACAGGGTTTTGCCCGGGACGGGAAGAGGGCGGAGGAATTATACCGAGTTAAAAGTCCCGCCGGACATCGGGATTTGAATTTGTAATTGTTTTTCTACATTAAATGGTTGCCGGATAATGCACGGTGAGGTGCACTCACGTTGACTCGCTTGGCCGCTCCAGTCTCAGTTATTCATCAGCTGTGCGTTCACAAAGCTTGCTTGTTTCCCGTTCTGCCTTGTCTGTTTCTCTCCTACTATACTTTATTCTGGCAGCATCTCCGGTACAGCTCCTCCTCGTCTTTCCAAGTTTGGTGCTGCGACTGCATGAAACATGAAATATTTGAAAAATGGACACATTTCTTGGCTCATTAGTTGAGGAAGATCTCTCTTCATTAAGACTTACAGATCTATATCTCTCACCAGCCTCGCCATCGGACTACAAAAATATTGTATAATATACGAAATGTTTTTTTAAAAAAATTAGAAGGTAAAAAGTAAAATCTGATCGACCAGGGCCCCCACTCGAGACCCCCGGGCTTCCCTCCCTCTCCCCCCCCCCTTCTCGTTTAGGCAACAATTTTTCTTTTCTTTTTAGGCCGAATCATATTACTAACTACCTTCTCTGATCTCCCAACTCAAATTTCTTCTCAGAATTATCAAGTTGCAACTTAAATTACAACCTCCCAAAGGAGAAAATCGTTTAACTCTATACCAATTACGATACCATTCATATTCTACATATTTTTTTTTTAATTACCAAAAAACATATTTGTATGTGTCTACCGCTAAAAAGCGACTAAAAAACGTTTCAAAACTGGAAGAAACCAGAATAATCGGGTTGTTTTTCAATAACATTAGAAAATCCTTGTTATCAAAATTCACTAGTATTGGAAATTTCAAACTTCCTGGTTTATAAATGTACTTAATGTTTCTTGCATATGTTTGTAAATGGACACTCTGAAAAGAAAAAAGAAATCACTCTGAAAAGAAATGGAATCAAGTGGCTGAGAGAGCATAAGCTAAAGAAATTCTATTTTTTAAACCATTTTTTTTTTTTTTTGAGACATTTGATCAATCAACTTTCTCTATTAAAAAGTAGCTCTAGAAGCGTGAAGTTCAATGTGTTGCGGGTTCGATAAACTTTACTTTAACATGCACCCCACCAAAACCTTTGTGAATTAAAAGTATTTTCACCAATTTATCTCATATGAAAAGGTTGACAACTTTAAGATACCCAAGGTTGCCGCATCAAGCTGAACTTACTTGCATTGATAATTCAGCAGATCGAACTCGCATAATTTCTAAGAAAAGATAAATAAAAAAGTAAACAAGGAAAATAAGCAAAAATTTCAAAAATAGAAACTATTCACTTTAAATTGTGACATAAATTCTAAAATAAATTGCTTATTAAATTGAATGTTATTTTTCGCTTTGAAAAACATAATTTTTTCTATTACAAATAGATTTACGCCCATACTTTCCTCAAAAGAAGGGAATATCATTTTAAAAGGCCGTATAGGTTGGCAGCACTTTCTCTCTCCGGTATATACCGTGGGGAATTATTATCAGCTGTAGTTTGTGAAAATGTGCTCGAGCGTGAGGTGGTGGTGGTTACTTGGTTGATAGTGAGTGTAGCTCGCCTCACTCCGTCTACGTTATTATTTTGGCCCTTCAGCCTTCTTTTAAGCGGTTTTTCTGCCCATGTCTTCATTAAAATTCACCCTGAAAGGGAAAAGTAATTTTATTGTTTCATTATGTTTACATGATGCTTCTAATTAATACATTAAATAAATGCTTCCCACAGTTTCTATTCAAAATATATTTTTATACTTGGTGTTTTATTTTAATTGTGAAAGTTTGTAATCAAAAGAATGTGATGTGTATGATAAATACAACCTACAGAAGTCACACACCAAACAGTGGATTATGTGAAAACAACTCCATGTCATGTAGTCATCAGGTAATATTAATTAACTGTTCTACTCATTTAAATTATACTCAATATTCATTCGATAAATAACTTAGTTTCGATGTTTAGTTGAGGAGCGAAAACTCGAATGTGACTAATGACACTTGTTATATGATATTCCACCAAAAACTATCCCCAGGTAATTTGATTATAAATTAAAAAACTAGCTTGATAATAAGTTTGGCAAATACTGTAAATAATTGTCTTGATGTAACTCTTTTAGTATGTGAGAGTAACAGCATCCTCGAAGGGAAAATCGATGAGAAGGAGGAATATGGCAAAATGATGCTGCAAACGTATGTACATCGGGAGAAAAATTTCAACTCAGGTCCAGCCTTCAATGTTTCATTCTACGATATTAAGTGGAAGAGTTAGTGTTGACACTCGATCTGCTCTTGTACCCTAGCTATTAAAAATGAGGACTTATTCATTCTACTTTCAGAGATCTACATGAGATTCATCGAAAACCAGGTGATAAACCCATCTCTATGCCGTGGGTTTCAAGTAATTCCAGAAATTTCTTCTTCATTCACTTTATACTTTGACTGCCTGTGGAGTACTGAAATAGAGCAAAAGGCTTACCACTTTGAATATCAAGCTTTTACACCTTCCGGAGAGTCTTTCACTTATAAATATCTTTTTCTTGTTCCTAATGGTGAACAAATTGGTATGTTGCATTCTTTTTTTTCTTGTTTTTTTTTTGTGTTTTTTCCCTTAACTTCTTATCAACTTCCTAGGATCTAAGCATGTATTTAGTTCATAGTTGCATACATATTAAATTATTTTATTAATATATTTATCACTCGTATTATTTTATCTTTGTACATAAATTTTCACAAATGCTAACTTTTTTTTAGTGATTTCTAAATAATGCAAATGTAAGTATTATATTGCCTTTGTAGTTTTGCCTAGCACTATATTTTGTTTATCTGACTTTTCATATTAGTTGGTATCCATTAAATACTTAATGAGGATAGCTGAAAAGTTCTTATACTGAGAAAATTAATATTTCCATGATAACATCAGTCTGCAAGTATACAATCAATTATATTTATCAACTTATGAGTTATAAATATAACTGTGTAGGTGTAATCCAAACTAATTAAATTTAGTTGAAAAAATGTCTTCAATGTATTTTTTTATATTTAATAAAAAAAAAATTATAATTATAGTATGATGGGTGTTTTTGTATTTAGTATGTATGAGTATTTTACTTTAATTTTCTGAAGGGGCCATGAATGTCGTGGCATCATAAAAATATAAAACAATATCAATTAGACTAATGAGCGTGAAACACGTGAATTTATTCCATTTATTTTATACTAGAAAAATAATTTTTATGTTAACTTTTTATTTTCAGACTACAAAACTCCTTTGGAAAATTGGACCATCTTCATGGTTGTGGATGTTTCTGCTGTGCCTGAGAAATTAGTTTTGAAGCTTCAGGTCGCTCCTAAGCGTTTAGGTATAAGAGGTTATAAAGTCCAAGTTTGTAAAACATTGAAAGAAAATCCATGGATCGTGAAGACTGAAAAAGAACTTTATCCGGAACCTGGTCAAATTGAGTTAACGTACACTTTTGAAACTGGTTCTCGGTTTGGGAAGTATATGTTTACAGCAACTCCAATCCATGACAACTGCACGTCCAAGAATCGTTGCATTGTTTCAAAAACACCATCTATTCTAATAGGTTTGTTACAGTATTTTTTATTTATTTTAATAGCTATTTAAAATATATTAACTATCACCCATAGATCTGTCCCTCAAATGTAGAATAACTGATTCATTATACATTTTAAAGTGCATTAAATTGAATATTTAATAAATATTCAACATACATTATACATTTAGAATTATTTAATACCAGAATATACTACTTTTCTAATGTTTTTTACATTGAAAATTTAATTAAGAAAATTATGTATGCTGTAAGGTATAGTTATGTTTATGGCTCATTAGTAAATTTATGAACATTATTACTGACGTAATATTGCTTTAATATATCAATGCATTTATAGTAATTTTTCTGTTTAGTGATATAAAATTATTATACCAAGATAATTAATCAGGTTATTTAACTAAGGGTCTTTGAACTCAGTTTGACAGACCAGAAATCTAATCTTTAATTGTGAGTACTTTCACTGAATACTATGAAACTATTGTCATCGGAATGTAATGTTAGATCTTATCGCTTTATTAGCTGTTACTCACACAGCAGTTACTATCTGCTATATAATTCATTAATTCATAATAGGCTCTGACCTGTACATCTGGATTTCTGTTTATTTAATGTTATATCCAAATTTAATGTTTATAGTTCTTAAATATTAATTGAACTGGTTGAATCATACCAATGAAAACAATTTTTATACTTTATTTTTGCTTACATACATGACTTATATGTGAAGAAAAGAATAGTTATTAATGTTTCAAATGATTTTATTTATAACTGCAGATATATAAAGTTCATTTAATGTGTGCTGTATCGTGATAATGCATGTAAAAAATTGTAGAATGTGCAGCATTCATTTCATCTATATTATTAAAATAAAAAATAATTAACTGGAGGTATTTATAATTTTAGTCTTGAAGGTAGACAAATATTTTCTGAAACATTGGTAGAATAAAAATAAATTCAATTTTTCCACCTTATTATGACACTAGAACAGACGGTATTCTTTAGATATATGAGAAATTAAATGGTTTTACTGTACTCTGGACATTGTTTTGGGTCATCATTCCTAGAAAGAAGCCGGATGAGGTTGGCATTGTTTCAAAAAAATGTTTTTCACAAATAAAATTGTAATGAAACCTCAATTCAGAATTTTCTACTAATCGCAAGACTTAAACCCAAGCCAGTGAATACTCAAATTATTGTTTCCTTTCATAAAATTTAATTTTGTAAATTTAAGTAGGAAAATCAATAATATTAAGTCCATATTAATAATATCAGGTTATAATAAATGGAAAAATTCCAACCACACCATATTTTTTTTGGATTAACAGTTTTTGAACCACCATTGATCTACAATAATTTATAAATTTAATAATTTCCATTCTAGTTAGTCCTAATTGGCCATTTTCATGTTATTCTATGTTATAGTAGAAATGGTTGAGCCTAAATTTCTGACTGGAGTAGTCATTGTTGTCATCCTTGTACCTATTATCCTCATGGGGTACTTCATTTGGAAGAAAAACTGTGATACTACAAAAGAACCAAGTAAGTCAACAGTTTGTTTTCAAGTCTATCTTGTATTATTATTATAGCGTATTTAAAAGTTTAATAAATACAAAATTACCTCAAGCTGCAGATTACATTGAATGAGCTATATTTTATTTGTCAGTAGTCAATATTTTGTTTGACTAGCTAGAGTAGAAAGTTCCTAGAAGCTTCATCTCTACTGAAAGTAAGGAAGATTTGTTTTTATGGGGAAGTTTAAAAGAATGTTTGCACTCAGAATTAAAAATTTTCATTCTCTGTGTACCTTTTTTGGCCATCAAGGAAGAAATTTGGTTCCGTGTCTGTCTAGTCAAATCCATGTAATGGAGCATCCATCACCTACTATTGCTTATCAGATTTTGATGAAATTTTCAGGGATTTTATGAATTTTCTTCTAAATGGTCACATATAAATTTCATCAAATTCCAACATATAATTCTGCCTGCTGATGTGAAAATTTATTAAGATAGGCCTGTAGATCATAAATTGACTTTTTCATTAAGGCTCAAATTTGAAGGAAAATTAGGGATTAATGAGAAAATGATCCAGTATCAATTTTATCGAATTCCCTTCCCAACTTTCGCTTACAGATGGTTCAGTGTATTTTCCTCTCTATGCCTATATTTCAAAAATAGCTCATTTGATTTGACCCAATGTTGAATGAAATGTGGGAAATGGTCTTGTATCAATTTTCATTTACCAATTAGGATTAATGTAATTGTTAAGAATATAACAGCTGTGAAATATGATGAGCAGATACTTTTCAGCTTAAGTGACTCATCATATGTGTTTTATTTGATTATGCTGTTTAGTTTTAAATAAATTTATAATCTTAGTAAAGAATATGCATATTTTCTTATATACCAAACAAAAAATCGTGATAAAGCTATACTAATTTACTTCAGAATGTTTTTTAATGTAATTTATTTGAATTGTGTTAAAGATTGTTTAGAATACTAGATAAAAACATTTAAATCAAATTGGAAGGGCCAATAGTCAATAAATGACTGAAGCAAAGTGAATATTATCAGTTGACCATTCAATTATATAATATGTTGACAATAGAGATATGTGAATATATGTTATTGAAATCTTGAAAAATCTCATATTGAGGGTATACAATGCTATGATAAAGGAAGTTCTCATATTCGGCTGTGAGATCTGAACCCTAACCACCTTAGAAAGAAGTATCAAAAGATTTAAGAGAAAAATCCCCTGCACAATAACTGGAGTGGTCTGGGATCATAGTACTAACGCATGGAGGAGAAAGACCAATAAAGAGCTGCTTACAGAAACTGGTCAATCATTTTCACTTAATATGAAGGCAACGAGATTAAAATGAATGGGGCATCTAGCTCATAGTAATTCATCTAGTAGCCTCTACACAACAATGAATGCCTCAATAAAAGGCATAGGACCATGTGAAAGACCAGAAACCGTGTGTATAGATAAAATCAACTAAGATGCAATAGAGGTGCTTGCAGATAACTGGACAGAAATAGCTCAAGATGGGCAGAGGTGTAGAAAGTTGATTAAGGTAAAAAAAGATCTACAAGATCTGTTACGCTAACAGAAAAAAAATCTAGAGCGCACATCACACAATTTTACAAAACATAAGATAAGAACTCACCGCCATGGATTGGAGTGGTGTATATTTTTTTAATAATGATTCATGATTTTAAATAACTAATAATGCTTGAAACATATTTTTACAGCGAATTTAAGCTGTTATTCCTTATCAAGAAATAGCCATTAATAATTTATACAACTTGTCCTAAACAGTTAAATATCTCAAAACTTCAGTTTTTTACTGACTCCACTTTTGCATTCGATGATCCGTTTGTTGGAGATGAAAGAATAATATAGCGAATACAAGTAAATTAAAATATATATATTGAAAAAATAAAACTGGAATATCCTGATCAATGATGATTCTAAAGCCCATGAACAACAAAAAATAATAAGTAATAGTCTTAATTTTAAAAAGAGCCAAAATATTACTATTATATTAATATCAAAAAATTAATAAGCAGTGCATAATGATGAAATATAAAAATATCATTATTTTCAATTATATATTATGGAAGGAAATCATGCTTTTGTTTTATAGTATTTATTAAAAAATCCTAATGTTAATATTCTTGTTGATTTACTTACAACATTTCTACTTTGAAGGTAACATTGCTTATGCATCAAAACCTGAATTAATTTCCGTGGAAGAGTTTATGCACTTAGGAGAAATTCAAATCAGTTTTTACATTAAAATGTGGACTGAGCTATTTACTTTTCTTTTTTAAATACAAATGCACTGTCGATTGCTGCAACTATTATGTTTTACGTTGTTCCTATTCTCGTTCCAGTGATATTTCATTGTAAATTGTGCTGTCATTTGGCCACTCTCCACACCTCCCCCAAATATAGTAGACTGTACTGATGAAGACTTAAATTTCAATTAATTATAGTCCTGCAATTCAAATGTATTTTTAGTTTCAAGCCACGTTTAAAAAAAAATTAGCTGTAGCTATAAGAGATGTAATGCCTCCTATTAATAATTGTTTTATGGATATTATTACTTTAATATGATTGTTAATGGATAAACATTCTGTGACTATGGACAGGGAGCTTGGGCTACATTATGGCACGATTTTCTGGAGGTGTTTTTATGGACCCTCATTTAAGATCAGGTAAGGCGAGATGTTGATGATGTGTCCTGTACTGGTTTCAGGATTATGTGCTACATGTTTTTAAATGTTTTGTGTTTTGCCAATACTTCAGTTTTGTTTTAATGGTTAATTACTTGTTAAAATAAATACCATTAGATTGCTTTTTTCTACTAATCGCTTTTGGGATCATTCATCTCTGTCTGTACTGTTCTTGTATTAGTATTTACAATTAATCTAGAAGAGGTTTCCTCTTGTTTATTTTCTTCGTGTGTAGCTTAGTCTGTATTTAATGTTAGCAAAATATTTTATTTCGTAATCACTAGTATTTTCCTAATGCTTAAGTATTGTTATAACTTTTAGGAACTCTAAAATTCCTCTAGTTGATTCTATCTAAAATTTTAAATAAAAAAATTTAGTTTCCATTTTTCAATTTTGACCCTTATTCTAAACCTTTATTCTGACCTTGATTCCATCTAAAATTTTAAATAAAAAAAATTATTTTCCATTTTTCAATTTTGACCTTTATTCTAAAATATCTTCTCACACTTTTTTATTTGTCTTTCGGTCAATTCAATTTATTATCAAATTAGTTTTTAATCACTATTTATTGCAAGTTTCAGGGCATTTCTTTCTTTTTTTTCTCTCTCTCGTCGGCCGATGACTTCCATGGGTGTCTGTTTAGGAAAACAGTGAGTGGGAGAATCTTTGTCCCCCTCTTTAGCAATATAAAATAATATAATTAATTTATTATAGGTTCTATCATGAACCAGTCACTATTAACTAAAAAAATACGTAACATTTAAAATACTTTTTGCCTAAATAAATATAAATAATTTTAAGAAAAGAATGTTTCAGTTTAAAAAAAAATAGTTAAAATAAATATAATTATTTATTTTTTTTTTATTTTTTACTGATCTCCCCAACCATGCTTCTCTTCAATTATTCACTATAGTCAATCCTCAATTATAAATCATTTTTTATAGATTTGTTAAAATCATAATTTACTTATATTGTTTGCCCCGAAAATCGGGTAAATCACGGTATTTAATAAGCTTGGTCTATGACTATTATCAAACTGAAAGGATTAAAGTGTATTTAGAATTGTAGGTAGGGAGGCTAAAATATCAAATATGTTATTTTATAAATTGGTTCCAAATATCATGAATAAACTTTAGTTCTTCTTTTGTATTTTGTGTTTGTTCTAGATATTTTCTTACATATAAATTTTCTTTTCTTTTTATTGTAATTATTTCCTTGCCTAATATTTTTACATTGTCAAACATGAACTTAGGACTATGTTTCTACTATATGAGTAGTTAAAGCTGCATGGTTTCGATTGTAGTTTGTTGAAATTCAATGTGTAATAATAAATAGTAATCAAAAACTAATTTGATTGACCAAAAGGCAACAAAAAAAGTGTGAAAAAAAATGAATGTATTGGGTATTTTTTAAGATGACTTTTCCTATTCCATGACATCTATTTTTTTTTTTTTTTTTTTTATGTTTCAGTGTGTTTCTACCATCAGTGAATCGTCTTACATCTACCGTATTTTATGTTCTACATTTCTTATTTCCTCTTGTGGTTCCTTGAGTCTGCAAATCCAAAAAGGAATCAAGCAATAAGACTTATAAATAAGGAATGTAAAATATGAATGATGGTAGAAATAAGATGCTCCTGATAATTTGGTAAACACTTGAAACTTAAAAAAAAAAACATGTAAAAATTAATAAAGAAAGTGAAATAGGAAGAGGCATACTAAAAAAAAAACATAATATAATATAAATAGAATATAATTGGAAACGAGTTTATTTTATATGGTTTTAATTCTTAACTGTTTTGGAAGTATTTCAAATGTAGGTTATTTTTTAAATTTATTTATTTATTCATTTTTAAAAATCTCTTTTAACTCAATATGACACATATTGTATTATTCGTATTAATAAAAAGTTAATATTATTTAAAGTTATCATTCTTTCTATTAAATTAAAAATGATTTGTTTTGCAGCAACGCCACCAGGACCACCTAGACTTCTCCTTATGTACAGTTCCGCATCAGTACAGCATGTTAAAGCTATGATTGAAATAGCTAAATACCTGAAAGTTTGTGGGGTCAATGCGATGATTGATGAGTTGGGGATTCCCGAATCCAGCCATAAGGTATGTCTTTATCATTACACATAACTTCTTATCATAATGTCTATTTTTGGTGTCTTAAATTATGTTTATGACATAGTAACCATTGTGTTAGTTGTTAAACTTTTTTTCATTCACTCCATTTCATCTGTATTTTTTCTTTTGTTGTTGAAATTTGTACTTTGTCTTTTTGCTGAAAAAATAGTCTAAAAATAAGGTTTATAGTGCTGTGTATGTTCTAGCAATCCTATATATTTGATTTTTTGTTTAATTAAATATAAAGTGTTTCTCTTCTCTCTTGTTCCAGGATCCATTAAAATGGTATATTGAAGCCTTCAATGAGGCAGATTATGTGGCTATTTTCGCTTCCCCGGACACAACAGCTGCTGAGAAGGAAGAAGCAAGGAGATATTCTAGATACCAGCACAAGGAACAAATAGCTCAGAACCAGTTATCACATAGGCTTATTTCCACGGAGACAAAGTGCAAGTTTTTTTCAGTTGCCATCCCTGGAACTAATTACGATACTCTACCTGCGGAAGCTGTCGCTCTGAAGAGGTACAATAAAAAGTTTAAATTAAAGATGTAGGTACTTTCATTGAAATTATGATGGTAATCATACAATCAGTGCTTGATGTTTAATATGTAATTGTGGTAAACAGATACTATGAATTTTAAGTGAACAACTCCTCTTTGCTAACCTGCTTAAGTATTATAATCTCTAGTAAGGTTAGGGATATTCTGTATACAAGGTTTGTGAGTTCTTGTTGATTTAATAATATTAGATTGATTTTTAAAAAGAGAATAACGCAATTTTATATTGACAACATACTGGCATAGTATGGTATTTTTATTGTGTGCATAATTTGTAAATTTACCTTCCCTTTCTAGGTACCTGTTTCCACGAGACTTGGACCCCGTGCTAGTGTTAGTGGGCTCTGCTTGCCAGTGTGACCATGGTGCTGGGTTCCTCAGCGCCTTGGAACGTGCCGCCAAAGTGGAAGAAGTGGAGCCGCCCTTGCCACCACCGATCCACCCCCCACCTAAAGCTGTGCCTCCACCCCACACCGAAGAGGAAGACGATGGCAGAGCTGTATCACCCTGCTGCAACACTCATTCGGCCAGCGAGCTCGATCTAGTCTCTTCAAAGCAATATCAGTCAGACACAGACGATTCTGATCAGAGTATGGATCATTTCAGTTTTCTCGGTGAGTAGTTAGTGCTATGTCTGATTATTATTTTTTTAAAAACTTTATGCCTCAAGAACTTTTTTTGTTAATAAAAAATCCTACAAATTTTGTTAAGATAGTAGGATTATTAATTTTATGATTTTATATATGATGTATAGTATCCTTGTACCTCTATACTTTAAACAAAAAACTTGTCAATGTACTTATATTACTTTTTTTTCAATGTTCTGGTAATATCAGAAAAGAAAAAGTTTGTAGCTTATGATAAAATGTGTTTTCAGCTAGGTTATCAATGATAATTCTTATTGGCAATATTTGAAATGATTTCAAGTTAACAAAATATTTGATTAGGTGAAAATATTTGTTTTGTTTTTTATTTTATACTTCATATGCTTTTTAAAAGTTATTCAACTGGTTTTTGTAAATGTACCTTTTGGTCTTTTTCATTTTTATATGAAATAATCGTGCTTTATTTAAAATCAAAAACTGTTACTTCTTTAATTTTGATACTCTGCTAGTAAAGAAACATTACCTTGTGATTTTTATTTCATTAAACTATGTCATATTTTGGCCAAAAGCTTTATTTATTTAAATCAAAGAGAAATTATTCCGAAAGATGTGACAAATAGCTTGCCAGAAAGTTTTTAAAAACTATATTCCAGTTGCTGCAGTCCTTTTGATATGTTTCATTTTATACATCAACATTCCATTGTAGGTGATTTGTGAAGTGTTCACAGATTCCTTAGAGATTGATGCATTTAAAACTTATTTATTTTTTATGTTTAACTTTATAGAGTTTTATGTTTGTAGTTTTTGGTTGTTACCACTATTCAAAGACGGTCTTTATTGTACTTGTAGATAATAGATCTTGCAAGTAATGATTGTTGCATGAATTATTGAAATTGTGAGGATTTTATGATTATTGCTATAGCCAGTAATACTGAATTATTGGCTAACTATATTATTGAATCTCATTAACCTTTATTTTTATATTAAATTTTGTTTTTTTATCGAATTCTTTATCTTTGTTAAATCATTATTATCTTATTTTGTAATGTTAACTATTGTTTAAAATTTTTCCAAACCTACATATTTTTTTTATTTTAATCTGTCACCTTTGTTTGAAAGATGTCTAGGTGTTTTTGAAGTATTTTAGGAATTTCTTTTATTTGAGTAGTAGTTCTGTCCTTTTTTTTTTTCTATTATACCAAAAAAATTTATATTTTGTATTCAAAATTATAAAAAAAAAATTATTTAAAATCTTTATTTAATGTAATGGTTCCAAGTGCTAATATAGTATGAGTTTGATGGATGATGAATCCTCAACGTGATTAGTCAGAAATATAGGTTTTCCAATATGATCAAAAAAATTGTATTTGAATATTAATTATTCCAGATCTGGTTTAAGGTCGCCTTTCTTTCGTTTCCTATTGGAAAAAAGAAATAGTTAACTTTCCAAATTTGTTTCTAACCCAAAAATTAGTTGATTGGTCCATTGTTTAAATAACATAGAATGATTCTTATTTGCTTTAATATTTTTATTTTTAAAAAATGATATATTATTCTTTTTGAATTAGAATCTCAAATTTCTGTTAATTGACTCAAAAGCTATAAAAAAAAACAGTATTTTTTTTTCTTTCCTTCATTTTATAATTTTTTCTACCAACATTTCTCACAATAATATTAAGGTTATTTATTTGAAATTAAAATTTATGTAAAAAATTTTAAACTAATTATAATGGCGTTTATTTATATTTCAAACAAAGTCATTGCTGTTTTATTTTTATTTGATTTCAATGTTGTTCTATTTCAAGTTTTAATATTTCCATTGAATAACTTTCCAAGTTTTTTAGTTTTTATTTTCTTTTATTGTTTTATAATTTACCAAAAAAAATTGTTTTGTTTTTTCATTTATGTCCTCGTGATCTTAAATATCAATGTAGTAAAAAAATAGTAATGAAATAAATAAAAAACAAAATTAATATTAATGAATCATCAGAAGTTATTTTTCTTTTCAAATTAATACTTTATTCTTCAATATTCAAATTATTATTTTTTTTTTTATGGTCTAGAAACAGATAGATTCATTAATAAGTGAAATTGATCCTTTGCTGAATGCTTAGACGTCTATATTTAATTCCAAAAACATTTTGAGTAATATCCTATTACGAAATTTCTGGATAAATTTATTTTTTATAATGAAAGAACAATAACAAATTATGGCTGTATTCCATTTCCATTATAAATTATACCTTCCATTTATGTTATGAAAGGAGAAAGAACAAAGCAGATTTAATGGAAATTTATGGGATACATATTTTTGATCACAACTAACTTAAATGAATTACAACGAAAATTTATTGCGTAATTAATTTATAAGTTCTAAAGGCTGTTACCAGGATTTCTTTCTTTTTTTTTTTTAATATATATTAATAAGCTTATATACCAGTATTTACTTAGGAAGTAATTGTTTTTTGTAAATATGTATATTATTATTACTGGCTTCCGAACTGTTATTTAATAATGCTGTGATCTGCCAACAAATTCATTTAAGAAAATATATTAAGTTGGTGTTAGCATTTAATGTTTTTATCATATTATTAAAATATCTGTTTGTTTTTTTTATTTATAGTTTTCACACCATGAAAGATGGTGTACTTTTAGCTGAAATTCTACTTAATCTAAAAGTCCATTCTTTATTGTATTTGAATTTTGAAACTCAAAACAAACCAGATACTGTCGGTACATGATTTTTAAATTTTTGTTTTTTTTAATTATGTTATTGAAAATATGCTGTCTTGTCTTAATCAAATTGATTTTGTCTTTAAGTAGAAATTCAGGTTTAGATAGTTTTATATCTAATTTTACTTTTGCTTTTTTTTATTTTATTTTATCAAGAACAAATTATACCAAACATCTTTTTATCTAGTCAATGATAAATTACGTTGAAAATTATAATGAAATTAGTTAGAGTGAGGAGGTAATTTTTATTAGAACTTGTTTCCCTTAATCATTTTAAATTTTTTTTCGTATTTAAATTAATCGCATTCAATACTTCTATTAAGTTATTTTTTCATTCTCTAAAGGAAATTATGAGGGTTATATATTTTCTCAAAATTTTCATTTCTCCATTAAAAAATTTCAATTTTTATTACACCCCTAGAATCTGTTTACTTTTTTAGTATTTTATTTACATATTTAAAAAATATATAAAAAGTATTAATACTATTGTATAGTTTAAGTCCAATCATTAAAATAAAAAAACTCTTCCAGCTTTATATGATATTGTGATATGCGTTTAAGTATGCATGGTTTTAAAAGGAATTCCTACTTGTGACATTTAGTTCATGTAAGAAAATTCATCTTATTATCAAAATTAAATAATTAAATTGACTCCAAATTTATTAATTTAATTGGTGTCTTTCGCCATATTGGGTGTACTTAAATTTCGAATGCTTCTAGAATTAAATCCCAGCATTGAAACATTAATTTGAAAGGTTTTTATATATAAGTATTTTTTTATTTGCCGTTAATTATTGCTATGAACTGATATTTAATATAGAGCGTGATTTAAATTTTAATAATAATTTTAGTAAATATAACTGAAACTAGACTGCCATTTGTATTTATAAAATTGAAAAAAAATTAATAAATTAAAAATAACAAAAATAAGTTTAAAAAATTAAGTTAAACATAATCTTGCATGATTGAAGGTAAATAGAACTGGTATTTATTGTATACTGAAAGAATAATATGCTAATGTGATATAAAAAGTATGAATTCATCTCATCTTTAGGATTATAGATGTACATTTTCTGAAATATTTTTAAATTCTTTTAAATAAAATATTTTGCGTCCTTAATCGAAAATAATAAAAAAAAAATATATATATACAAAATAAAATTTAAAAAATGGGGCCTTGGCAAATATATAATAGTTATAGAATTACTTGAACTGATGTGTATGTTATTTAATACACTCGCTTATTTGAATAGCATTAGTTTCATTAATATTAAGTGCGATGATTGTATTTCCAAGGCCTTTTATATATATTGCTCAGAAAATAAACCCCATTTATTATTAAAAAAAAAGTTCTAAAATTTAAAGTATTTACAATTTAAAAATTATTTGAATAATTAAATAATATTTAAAAAAAAAAAAATGGTGTAACATATTATGGCATTTCCACAAATTTGTCCTATTTTTTAACATGAACAAGATATCCGTATGTGGACATATCGGGCTGTATTTATGAAATTTTGGATCAGAGAGTCAAAAGTTAATGGCTTAGGAACGAATGCAAATGAATCAATGATTATGATGAAACTAGTTTTTTAAGAATCACCCCTTACTTAATAAAAAGCTTAGATTTAATGAACTATATAAAATTTAATCGATGTGCGCGTTGGTTCTTGCCTAGCCTTACTCGAGTACAATAGGAACTCATCTAGTTGCCTAAACCTTTCGGTCGCTTTAATAGCAATAGTTAGGCATTTTATATGGAATGTGTCGGGCGATGTATCAAATATTGTATGAAGCCGTTCGTTATTCGAAGAACTAATTCAATTCAATTATAGATACTTTATTTTTTTCTGGGAAATATGATCAAAAATATCTGATTCATAAAATGTTTTTTGATGAATGTAAATATATAATAATGTTTATTAGGATAATTTAGGATGGTTAGTATTGTCGAATCTTAAGTTTGATTTAAATGGTAAATGATATTTCATCTCGCTGCGATGGTTTGAGGTTGTGATCACTTCGTAAAGTACATGAGCTAAGCTTAATTGTGCCTGCCATTAATAAAATTTATAAATCATTTATGCAACAATTGAACAAATTAAGTATCCACGTTGTGTTTATCACTTTCAAAGTATTATATTCACTTAAAAATCTAAATAGAAAAAACATTTATTTATATATATATATATTTTAAGGTGTTTCTTTTATTTCTTTTTGAGAAATCAAATATTTTTTATTGATTTTTTAAACTTATTATCTTCAAACTTTAAATTAAAAGTTTATTTATGACTCTTTCGTTTTCAAATTTTATGGGGAAAAGGAAAAAGCTAATAGTTTATGGTAGTATTTCCAATTAACAGATCAATGAATGATCCTCTAATTCCTATTATTTATTTAAGGGTAAAACAGCAAAACTCTATACTGCCATTGTTATTACTCACAGGTGTTTACTTTCATAAATGAGAATCTAAACTTGTCCAAAATGATTCCCTCTCTTTTTTTTTTTTTTTGTTTAAAAATCAAAAGTTGTGGCTAAACGTTTTAGCCTTATATTAATTTTTACTTTATTCTGTACAATGTCGCTGGAAGGATATTGACACTCCATGAATTTAATAGTTTGCACCCTCATTTATTTACTTATTAGCTACCTTATCCCGCATTTATCCATTTTTTATTTTAATTAAATGCACTTCATTGATGTGTCTAATAGGAAAGAATTAAATTTTAAAAAAATGGATTTTTTAATCAGAAAAAATATTGAAATGACAACAACGAGTAGCAATTAAGTCTTTAATAAACCACCAGAAAAGGTTTTTTTTTTGTTTTTTTTCAGTAGACCTTAATACTCATTTGATTTACAATTCTTTGTGAAAATTGTACTCCAATTGAGATAACTCTGCAATTGATATTTAATCTGTTCGATTGATTTGTAACGAATCCAAAGCTTACTTTTTGCACATCGTTATTTAAAATGGGAATCAGTTCTACTCTAAACTTACATCTTACATTTCATTCTCATTCCTCCTCAATTGTTTATTAATTTTTAAAATTCAAAATTTGTAATAAAATACTTTACTTAGTTGTTATTATTATATCTTAACTTAATTATTTGATTATGTGATTGTTCTCTTGATATTTGTGTTAAACTATTATTCAAACATGACATGTTTGTTAGTTTATACCCTTCCTAATTTTTTAGCTCAGTTTATATTCTCAAACCTATATGGGATACTGTTTTTTATATAAAAAGTTTGTAAATTGTCTGTCATATTTTTTGAAAATTATTTTCTTACTGGTTCATTGCAAATGTAACTAAAACCAAATTTATTTAGATAGTCTTGTACTTGAGGTGGTGAGACCCATAAGTGTTGAAAGTTTGTATAAATATTTTGTAAGTCTTATTACCAGTGTACATAAAGTTTGTTGTGTAATAGTATTATTTAATCCTTTGTAAATAATGCCATTGTTAAATGTTACCTTGTTTATACATGAAATTTTAAAAAATAAAAAACTAATAAAAAATAAAAATAAAAAAAGAGACAGATTATGTCAGTTCCGTCAAGTGAAAAACTAAAGTGAGTGTTGAAAGAATTGCCTTGCTTGTTGATTATTGTTTATAATAAAAAAAAAATTAAAATAAAAAAATGTTTAATCTTCAACATATGCTTTTTCTATGTCTAGTTGTTTTTCTTCAGCAATTGAGCTTCCATTATTTTTATGATCCCGAGTCCTAAATGGCTGAATATTTTAATAAGCAAATTTAAAACATTTTCTTAATATATATAATTAATGCTTGGAAATCTTTTTTCCATATGATACCTCATCTTCCAAAACACTTTCCACCTCCAATTCCATACTTCCTTCAAATTTGCTTCTAAAGATTATTATAATTTATTACTTACAATTTTCATGTTAAAAATTTATTTTTACTTAGATTATGGCCACTTGGGTGTGAATTACGCAGTCTCTTTAAAAATGTAGTGAAAGTAACTTCACTTTCATAACTTGGTGAGAGAGGTTATGTTTAGTATTTTCTCCCCTCCTCCTGTCAGTTGTACATTTGATTAAATTGAAATATGAGTTTTGAAATTTTACTTTTTCATCTTCTGGTTAAATTTTATTTTATATTTTGTTTAAAAATTACTGTAATGTAAAATGTATATTAATTATATTTATATATTCCCAGCCATTGTATATAATTATGTCATTTGATAATATTGTTGTTTTTCTTCCGTTATTCTGCCCAGTCCTTAAAATGCCCTCGGGCAGTGGAAGGAATTTGTTACATGTATATATTGTATTATTATGTATACTATATATATAAATTGTTTCAATAAACATTTTGGAGGGTAAGAAAAAAAAAAAAATCCGTTATTCTAGTTTAATAAAATATATTATTTGTTTTATCAATTTTCATTTATTTAGTTATTTTATTTTTGCTCATGATTATGCTCATTTTCACTCTCCTAAAGATGAGAAAAATAAATCCTAAAATATAGTAAGAAATATATATATATATATATTTTTTTTTTTTTTTATTACAATCCATTTTCCTGAAAACTCATTTAAAAGTAATGTGTTAATTCACACCCATTTGGTCATCACCTCGATCATATTTCATATAGATCATATTTCATCTCTTTTTCTATCTCATATTTTAATAATAGCCTATAATTATAGATCATGATTTTCTTTCTCTTAAATGTGTAAAAAAAAAAAAAGGGTAAGAGGTGTATAATTAAATTGAACAACATAAAAACAAATCTATTTGCAGTTTTACAATGAGCTTCACAGTGTTTACAATTTGCTCATAATGTTTTTAACTTAGCTTGTTACAGTTTATATAAATTGTTGCATAATATTTATGTATATATATATATATATAAATGACATTATTTTACATATTGGCTTAGCATTTATGTCGAAAGAAACCCAGGAAGCAATAGAAAATTCTTACATGCTATGTTAACCTTACATAAACAGCTTTGTAATCATGTGATTGTATTCGTATAGAAGCGATGCTTGCTCAAAAATAAATTTGCTCATACATGGCAGTTGCTTGCTTTATTTTTTTATCGATGAAATATTGTAACACTCGCTTTCTCTTGCTTCTTCTGCACTCCTTTCTTCATTACTAAATATTGTTACTTTTTAACTTTTTTTTATTTTGCCATTTTAATTGAAGGCAATGAATGTGAGATGGTTAGTATATAAAAAATATTTAATAAAACAAATGGAATGTAATTTACAGGACAAATCTTCAAATCTCGCAGGGGGTGTTCTAGTCTAGGTTGATGGATGTGATTTTTATAATTAATGAATTTTTGATAAATAGATTTAAATGAATAGATTTTAATTAAATAGAAAAAGGATACAAACTCATGTTGTTTTAGTTTTTCAAATCAATCAACAACAAAAAAAAATTTAATGTATAAATCAATACAATATAACATATCAGAACTATCAATAAATTTACTAACTCACAGGTATGCTGTATTCAGTCTTTACGAAGCTAATATTCAAGCTATACAATTTATCATTAACAAAACAGGCCTTTACCTCCATCACAATTTACATTAAATAGCGCATAGAGTTTATTTTTGTATCTATGTAATTATTTTATAGACGAGCATTGTGTAATACCACTCATTCTAGATTGCATGCCTCATCTAAATGTTAGAACTTATAAAAAAATAAATAAAAAATGTAAACTCTCTGCGAGAAAAAATCACAGTCAAATGAGTCTAGAAAATCTTGCTAGATTGCTAAACGTAAACAAAACAAAATGTTAACGACTAGAATATTAAAAGTAAGAGTCTTAGCCTTAAAATACAAAAATACGTAAATTTTCCATTGGTTGTAAAAATAGTCAGCCAGATTGTTTGGACACTGTATTTATGTAAAACTTAAATGTTAAAATATATATATAAAGCATATATTTGTTATATTTATTTTAGTGCCCAAATCTATTTCAGTGAATTACCTTTGTTCATCTTTCATCAAAAGATCTGACATGACGATACAAGATATTGGTTTTGGTATATCATATGAAGTGTTTTTGTTTACCATTTCATTTTCATATTTCGACATATTTTCATTATTACAAGTTTTCTTAAGATCCATTGTGAATCTGATGTCCATATCATTTCCATCAATTCCTGAAAACCACCTTTGTTTTATGTAACTTATATATAAGTAGCTACTATATAATTTTTAGTAATTAATTTGATATTTTAATTAATTTTTAAGCCCTCTCTATTTATTTTTTAAAATAATTTATATTTTTTTCAACTTAGTAGCTGTTTATTTTTTTGGGGGAGAGGGTTAATTTTTTACGTTTAAATATTTTTTATATATATCGCAAGAAATGATAATATAAAAGAGCATATTTAGAGAAATAAGGTAGGTGAATATATATTTGTATTTATATTTTTAATGTTAATGATGTAAAAAATATTGTGCTTGTTACCTTGTTCTTCATTGGATGCAAAATAAGATGGATTTGAAACCATCTTTATATTGCAATCAAGGTAGTCTGAACCATCTTCCAGCATGCGTTCAAATTTATCGACTAGATATGTAAACGAAGGCCTCTCAGATGGACTTCCACTCCAGCACTCATTCATTATTTCATATCTAGAGATAATAAAGGAAATAGCTACAATTATAAATATAATGTTAAAATGTTTTTCAGGTGAAAGAATAAATTTAAATAAAATTAATCTTTCTGAAAATTAAATTACGGAAGAAAATTTTGTTTAAAAAACAAAATAGTTGAAAATAATATAAAAGTTAGATATACTTTTTAAAATTTAAATTAATTATAAAAAATTATTAAATGAAATGAGATTATTACAACATATTTATAATTGAACGAATAAAATTTCCTCAGCAATAGCTTATTACAGTATAAAGTTCTTATTCAAATTTGATGAAAAAAAAAAAATCATAGGCCAGACATATATGCACAAAATAGCAAAATATTTTATGTAATATGCATTAGAAGAAATATTTTAAAATGTGTATATTTAAAAAAAAATTATTCGAACTATTTAAGAGCAGATTATGCATCTTAAATAATATTAAAATAAATGATACTTAATTTAATTCAATTTATAATGACATTTTATGTACAAAATAATGACTAATGATTGGTTACAATCAGATTCGGATTAATATAATTTTGCTATGAAGGATCTTTCTAACTAGAGAAGAGTAGGTAACTAATAGTAATAGTCTAATCATTAAACATGACAAAGTCCAAATAAGACAGCCATAGAGAAACACAGATAAGTGGAGCCAAAATGTGATATCAAAAATGTAAAACAGAAAGATATAGTGGTCAATTAAAAGCAGGTAAAAATTAAGATAAAACAGTATGTAAAAATTCAATAATTTGCTTATTAAATATTAATATTTTGACCAATTTCTATTTTAATTATTTTGTTTGCTTAAGACTTTTTTCCTTATTGGTAATTAACTTCAAGTGGATCCTATTATAATTTATTTATTCCTGTAGTTAAGTTTGTTTAAAGTGAAGGCACGGATATTAAAAAATTCTTAAGACTGAATAAATAAGTTATGCTTTTCCAGTCATCTTTAGGTGAATTTAGTTATTTTTTCGAGGAACTGATAATTTAGCCTTAATCTTTAAATCCGTTTTAGTAGTTTTATTGTTATAATTAATATTTTTCTACTAACAATTTTCTGTTTATTAACATAAGTAATAAAATAAGGTATGTTCAGTTTAATAATTTGAAAATAGTAAACAAATATTAGTTATGACTATTTTTATTAAGAATATTCTTCCTTGGTTGCTTATAAATATTATTGCAATGGGAGTGACTTTATAAGTTATTCATTAATTAATATTTATGTCAATGTGAATATGGGTTGTAAAATCCTGAAATGTATATAGCTGATAAAGAATAAAATAAAATAATCACTGCAGGGAAAGCCTTAATTACTAACTTAGCTTAAAGAAATATATGGAAGCAGGCATCTTAATATATTCATTTGGAGGTTTAATTAATATACTCACAGCTGTTCAGAACAGTTGTGTGGTCTTTGCATTCTGTATCCACTCTTTAATAGATGGTAGAGATTTTGTACCGCAATTCCAGGGTAAGGTGATGAGCCTAATGTAACTAACTCCCATAACACAATCCCGAAACTCCAAACATCAGACTTGCTGGTGTAAATGTGATCACTGAGTGATTCTGGAGCCATCCATTTTACAGGTACTGAAATTTGAAAAATAATAATTTTTACTTAGGCTAATTATACTAGCTTATTATTTTCGCGTTAACATATATTGATATTATTAATATTCTTCTATTATATGTGAGCCTTTCAATTTGACAGAATGACTTACTCCAATTTCAAAATTTTGAGTAAAGTTATTTTAGTGATATTTGTAGTTCGAAAATTTATAATATCTGTACAGACAGTGAGTAAATTGATTCCAGAGTAGGTGATTGCGATGTTGAAATATAGAGCTGTGAATAAATGTATACATTTTCCCACTAGAAATATTATTAAAACTAATAATAAAAAATATTGAAATTGCCGTTAGTCATTCTGTCAACTGAAAGGCTCATATATTGCTTTATGCTTTAATATATATATATACACATATTATTCTTTGATATTTATATTCCTACTTTTTTCAAAAATTAAGAATGTTGACGTCTGATGCATCAAAATATCAATTGATTTTTATATAAATTCAATAATTATTTTAATATATATTTTAAAAATATTAATACAAAATATATTTATCTATTTTTTCAATATTTACATCCCTTAGAAATTGGATAGCTATTTAGATAATTTTGATATACCTATGTTGGATACTAAAATAATTCTAATATTGTATTTATAAAATAAATTCCAATATATGTATATAACTAACCTCTTCCTCTGCTTTTTTTAAGATATGTGTCATCTTCATATACATCCCTCGTAAGACCAAAATCTGATATTTTACAGACTTTTCCTGTTGCCAACAAAATATTTCTTGCTGCTAAATCCCTATGGACAAGCTATGAACAAAAAAAAAAATTAGTTTATTTATTGAAATTTTTTTAATCAATTGCTAATTTGTATTAATAAGATTCAGGATTACCTTAATCTCTGTTAAGTATGCCATTCCTTTTGAAATTTGCCATGCAAAACTCAAAATATCTCTGGGGCTGATATCATTTACTTTTTGAAAACTATTAATCGCTTCAGAATTTGAATTTATGTTCCTATGTCTTCTTAAATATGCCCTACATAAATAAAATTTAGAAATGATCAGTAAAAAAAAAAGTTTTTTTTTTAATGTTTGGAGAAGGATGAACAGATTTTAAACTCTAAGTTTGTAAGCGTGTTTTTCTGTTTCAAACAAATGAAATCTAGCATTATTGAAATAAGAAATAAATTATGCCATATATTCTTCTCTATGAGAAAACATAAGACTTAAACTGCCTGTAAACAAACTATGTAATGCTATAGTTGAATGTGTGAAAGAACATATAATATTTTACCCAAATACAGAAGCCACTACCCAAACTATCTCAGACTAGGAGCTCTTGTACCCGGCTACTAGCTCGGGCTTTCACCTAATACTTATGCTCCAGGACCAAAGACATCAGGTACTGGAACACAAGAAAACAGGTACTGGAACTTGAAGGTAGCTTCAGTTTATTCCTCTGTTTAACTATCATTTTTACAATTCATTGGGAGTTGGTCAAACAGGACAGCAGCCACACAGAAGGTTAGTGAAGGCTAGTACAATAAAGAAGAACAAAAAGGATACCATATTTTGGACAGAGTTGGAATAAAAATAACTTGTTCGAGAAACAGACTTCTTGAGTTGGTATTATAATAATTACCTATTTAGTATTCTCTACTCTAATTCATCACTATTACTTAATTACCTGTGGAATCCAAAGATGTATGAAATTAACTATTTTCAAAAAAATAATGTCTAATATGTATATTATTTATCAATATATTTTATTTATAAATCGTGTTTTCAAAAATTGATTAAATTTTCACTTGTGCCCCTTTAGTTCCCATTCTCTCATGTGGTGGATAAAGTTATCATATTTCATTATTAATTGTAATTTTATGTTATTTGCTGTGTTATTAATTGTAATATATGTTATGCTACACCTCTAGAAAGATATTATTCCTTTTCTCTATTTTTGGAAAAATATTTATAGAGAGTTGTATATTTCAATACATCTTTATCAAAAATAAATATTTGAAAAAACAATTGTATTATTTTAAATATTTAGGAAGTCTTTAATTAAGCATGCTTATTAAAATTTAAGGATGTTTAAAAAAGAATTCAGTTAAATTTTGAAAAAGTAACTTAAATTAGTGAGTGACGTAACTTACCTCAAGGAACCAAGTCCACAGAATTCAATAATTATGTAAATGGGACCACCAGGTGCCGTGCAAGCTCCTAGCAGTTTTATTACATTAGGATGAGAAACCTCTTTTAGCAATTGATATTCTGACATTAGGTCATCAAGCTCTGAGGAACCAGCATTATCTTTTAAGGTTTTTACTGCTACTGTGGTAAAACCTATTACAAATTAAAAAAAAAAAAAAAAATCAATTACAATACTACTCTAGCCTAAACGATTAAGATTTTTATTTATCATTTAAATCTGTTTCTCTATTTCTCATGTATCGTGGGTTTATTGGAAATAGTCATTCAGTGACTTTTTTATAACCTTAAATCACTTGCAAAATTAGAAAATTGTGTGATTTTTGTAATTCCATCCGATATATAAAATGTTTTGTGGAATTTTAGTGTAATTACTGTTGTTGTTTTTTTCAATAAATAAGATCCTGTTTATTTTGATCAAAGTGTTCTTAAAAGTTCAGTTCCATCAAAAATATCCTTGATGCCTTTTTACGATTAATTAATTAATTGCTTCTTTTACTTTAACTAAACCAGAGGAAATTTTCCCATTTTGATTTCCAATTTAGGTTTCTAACTATAATTTATTCTAGATCTTTGATTTCTAATATTTTTCTTTTCGACAATTGTTTTTCAATGGACACGGGGATTATTTCCAGGTATCATATTATACCGTAGTTAAAGAATAAATAAAACACATTGAAGCTTAATGGTAAACACATTGGTGCCACTTTAATGTTGCCTTAAGGTTAAACTTTTCTTGGCATCTTCATGAAAATAATTTATTCTTTATTTGCTATTCAATATGTTACAGGGAAATAATCTCCTTGAACAAACATGAATGGTATTTTTGCTTTGATATTGCTTACATGCTACTACATTGTTCTTTTTTTTTTTTTTGGTTTGAAATCTATGTTACGAAGGTAAGTTTAAAAAAAAATATTTAGTTAGTTTCAGTGAATATTTAATAGTTGACCGTTGCATTATAAAGAAAGGAGATGGTCCGGTGTGGCGGTCATAAATAGGCTAAATAGTGAGTGGCAAAACTATTTTATTAAAAGCCAACTTTTCGACCCGACTTTGCAGGTCTTCTTCAGGGAGGTGTGTTCAGCTATGGGTTTCACTTTAAACTGAATTGCAGTTTTAAGTGAAACTACTAGCTGAACACACCTCTCTGAAGAAGATCTGCAAAGTCGGGTCGAAACGTTTGCTTTTAATAAAATAGTTTTGCCACTATTTAGCCTATTTATGACCCCAGACCATTTCCTAACTTTAGTTAGTTTCGGTTTTATTAGATCTTAGTAATAGTGTGAAATGAAATGTATTTCAAAGGAAGAACATTTGTAATGAGTTAAATGTACAACAATGGTGTACTTAGTACCAGGACCAGTTGAAGCATAAGAAGAGGGAGAGAGAAAAAATGTATGTGATTTTGTTCATAATAAAGGTAATCAATTAATAAAAGACCCTATTATTTGGCCAGGATGATGCCTCCCCCTCCAGGTAAACTACTGATTTACACACAGATTTTTCAGTATTTATGAATGTTTACATACTGAGTAAAAAGTTTGTAACTTATTACTTTCAACTACAAATAGTCTTGAATAGTAAGTATGCATTTCTAACATGTTCTGTGTAAATTATATTTATTTTGCATATGTTATATTTTTGGTTTGATTGGCGTCGAAATTAGTTATCGTTTATGATAGGGATTTAGAAAAAAAAACAGAAATTGTGGCCTTAATGTGAAAATTAGCATGATTTAGTGAAGCTAAAATTAAATCATATAAAAATATACAATATTACTACAAAATTTTAGATTGAACTCGTGTATCTATTGTAACATTATTTATTTATGATATAAAATGTAAAATTGAAGTTTATAGCATTTTTCCATTATCATGAATAGTTTTTTTTTTTAAATATAAATAATTTCAATAAAATAAATGTGTAGGCGTTGTGAAGCGAGTGTATTGGTAGTTCTGTCCGCCATATTCGACCGGCTGTAGCTAATGGAAACCGCCAATAACAAGACTAAGCCCAGTTAGGTTCACTTTTCCGCAGTTAACCGATATTTACTGTGGACTTCAATTTTGTATGTACATTTATATTAATTAGTATTCTTTATGTGTGTACGGCTAGAGTCGTTTACTACGCAACTCCTCAGTTTTGTCCCGATAACCTTCGTTAACCTATCATGTCCCAAGTCTGAATTTATGACGTTTACGCCGCAGTTTGCAATTTAAGTACATTTAGAAGCTCAATCGAATTGCTCAAAGTATCTTAACGTTTTCTTCAAACTTTATCATCTCTTAAGCAGCTATGGATTGTGGTTACAAGCGAAAACTGGACTGTATTGTAGATACAATGGATGTTATCGTTGGAGATTCCTTTCCTTTATCCTATGTAGATAGAAGTATTTTAGATCAAAACAAGAGAATGAGACTGTCTGTACAGGTAGATACTGGCATTTGTCAAGATGATTTGGAATCATCTAGTAGTCATCAGTTGAGTACTAGTGAAGATTCTTGGAGTTTAATTAGAAACTCAGCAATTCGATCTTGTAATCCAGACATGGATTTTGACAGTGATAGCAAGTCGATAAATGATAGAGATGATGATACTTATGAAGATCTTCCTTCCACTTCTGAAGTAATTAACAGTTTAAGGAAAGTAATCTTATGGATGTCCGCTCAAGGTGATCATAATACAGATTATTTACAGTATTTGGGTGAAGTGGAGCGTTATGCTCTCAGTAAACAGCTTGATATTGTTCAGCAAAGGAAAATTACTGAATATTTCTTGAAACAAAATCAACCATAAAGTGCTAATAAATACTCCAATATAAATGTAAAATTCTGATGTAAGTGATTTAATGTGTGATTGTCTTGTTTGTTTTATGTATATACTAATTTAATTTAGTTTATGTTTGACTAATTTTAGGTTGTTCGATTGCTTATGTTATGTTTTTTTTCTCTGTCTGATCGATGCGCTGTTTTGAGTTATACACTATTAATTGTTTCCTATTAAAGAGTAAGAGTTTACTTGTTATATTTTTCATATTAATATGTATTTGTAGATTTATACGGTGATTGTCACGTCATGATATAAATGAGGTTCAGTTGAAGATATAATATATAATATATTAGCAATACTCTTTTGAAGAAAATGATATAAATAGTAAAACTGAAAGCTGTTTTTAAACTTTGAACCAAAAGCTTTAATTAGGCTTAGGAATATGATTCCAACTAATTCAGTCTTTTTTTTTGCTTTTTTTATATGTATTTAATAATTTGAAGGTTACAGATTTCAGTAATTTTTAATTTCATTCATTCCATGGTTTGTCTTCTAATTGTTCTAATGAAAAATATTTCATTTGATGTGATATTTTTGAAAGCTACACTTATTTTGAAAATTATTTTATTTATTTATTTTATTTATAGTTGAACAATGAACAAATGTTTCAAATCATTTGTAATATTCAGCTGTTTAAATTATGCATAAAGGGTTAATCAAATTAACTAGTCTGTGCCATTTCATGATGATTTGTCTAAGTCCATAAGTTCTCGCTCATTTCTCACTAAGTCTTCTGTTGTATTAAACTTCTACTGTCCTATTGTATTATATAAGTTATACTATCAAATATATTGTTTTATTTCCTTATGGAATTATTAATGGTTGGTTTATAAGTCAATACTTGTATCAGCTTTAATGTTAAAGGTTATATAGTGGCTTGTAGGCTAAATTTAGTATCCAACATTATAAATTGTTTAATGTTTAGTTTCATGCACAGTTTATAATCACTCTAAAAAAAAGTTCAGAACATATAAAAGAGCCACTGAATTTATGTTTCATTTATTTTAAGATTTATATAAATTAAATACTTAAAGAAAAAAAGGTGTGTTTTTCTCTCCTACTAAAAGCAGTTAAATTTATATTCTCAACCTGGGCATTACTTTTATACAAAACAAGATGATGACACGTTTAGAAAAAAAAAAATGTACTAGCACATAAAACATGAAATGTTAAATAAATTCATATGAAATTAATTCTTGTCTAGAACTAAGATGTTTAATTAATAAAAGTAAAATTACTCTTAGATGTTTTGAAGAACATTTTCTTTAATTTTATGCCTTGCTGTGTTTGATAAGACTGGAATAGTTACCCACGGAGATTTCTGAAGTTTTGAAAGGGCGATATTCTTAAGGCGAGTTTTCAAGATATTGTTATAAATCAAATCATTTCTACTGTGATAACATAGAAGTGAACTTTGTTTTATGAAATTTTAACTTAATTTGTCCATGTAATAAAAGTTCTTTAATAAATATTTTTTGTTTCTACTTTATTTATTCTAGTTTATTCCTTAAGCTTATAATAACAGTCTAAATTTTCTTTTACCTTTCATCGTTTTCCTTTTAATCCAATTCCTATTATTTGGAAAAACAACAATGACAAACTTACATTTATATTTTTTGTAAATTGATGTTTGTTAATAAAATCATTTTAAACTAAAACTATTTATGTGCTTTCTTTGTTGTTTTATTACATTGATCAAACAAAAAAATATTAATTTGCAAATAAAAGAAATGTTGGTTTCCTCATGTAAGTTCTACATGCAAGTTGCATTCATTGTAATCTAAGTTACATCGCCTTACTTGATTTTCCCAACTTTATAAGAGATAAAAAAAAAAAGTGGCTAATTTTGTTGCTAATAATATTGTTATGATTTGCATCATATTTCCACCTCAGAATGTCTTGGAAATATATGTTTGATATTTGCATGATTCCTATTCTGAAGACCTGAAAAATCAAATTAATTGTGCTACCTAAATCATTCATGCAGAAATTGAGCTAGGTGATGTATAACTTATATGATGTTTCACCCAGGATGAAACATAAAACCAGCTTATGACATCTTAATTATTACTTTGATGTGCGTTCGGAGTTATTACTGAGGGTTCCCTTGACCATTTGTTAACTAAAATATATAATCTTTTAAATTCTTCAGAAAGATAAACGAAATCTTTTAGATTCTTATTTTTAAACCACTTAGTTGAATTTTCAAAACCAACAATGAATTCTGCTCTAAAAGTCCTGACAGTTCAGTATTATATCAATGTTTTCATTATCATTAATATTTTTAGAATGGTTTCAGTAATGATCATCTTTATATATTATTTCTTAAGGATGTGTAGATACACTCTACGTATGTTAATTTTTGATCAAATAAAATAATTGAACTCTCATTTGAAGATTTTCATCACCCGGGGAAAGTTATGGGAAAAGTAGCCACATCCCTCAAAATTCGAGGGAGAAAAAAGTTATGAAGGAAAAAAAAACTTTATTTGCGAGTATCTCAAATAGTATAAATTTTTTTCTAGATCATACCTATGATTATTTAAAAGATACCTATGATCCTACAAAACAAAAAAAAAAAAAAAGTCACCGAAATTGGACTATTATTAGGCAAGATTCAGCTGATAGTAATTTGTAAACATGTATGAAGTTTTAAAATGATTTTTTTTTTATTTATCTCAATTACAAAGAAAATAAGAATTCATTCTATCTTAAGACATGTTAAATTATTTTATTTCCTTATTATTTTGTTAGTTTTTCATTGATCAATATTGTATGCGAATTATCGTCCTGGGGCCAACTATACATTATAAAGTGAAAAGTAAATGAGGCACTCGTTTGTAAAAAAGTATATCTAAAATTGTTGGCTGGCTACATCGGATTCCTTAGAGCTAATTTCATCATAGGTTGAAAGGATCTGATGAAAATTAGTTTTTGTAATGAATAATTTTTTATTATGATTTAATGGCTGCCTGCTAATTGAATGTAAACCCGGGATTGAAACTTTATAAGAAGTTTAATTTTAACTTTTTGGTAAATAAAGTTCCATTTTAACACTATAAATTATAAGGAACTTATTTATAATGAAGTTCTGGATTCATTGTGAAAAATTAAATTATTAACAAAAGGTTATGTTGAATGATGAGAAATAAGCAGTAATTGTGCTTAGATTAAAAACATAATTCATCTTGAATTACAATATATAGCATTGCAACCCTGTTTCAAGCCTTCGCCTTTTTTCTAAAGCAGTTTGCCTCCAGGGATGAATGCTCAAGATATGCCTGGTATCTTGCAGCACTGCATCCAACCATCACAATCTCAGTCTCTCCCTGGCCCCCAATTTTTGCTTGATCAGATTTTTAGTTGGTTAACCATCGCTCACTCCAATCATGTGGCTGACCTAAATCTGTAATCTTCATCCAGAGGATTATATCAGATTCTACTAATTTTTTATAATACTATTTTTATAATATTACTACTAATTTTTTAGTCTTCCCAGTTGGTACGTCTGCTCCATTGCCCATTTGACATTAATTTAAGATTGTACAGTAGTATTTTTTCAAAGAGCTGTTACTTATCCTCTTGATGTTTGATATAACTCATGTTTTAGTGACCGATGTGGGCATTGGTTTAATCATGGTCTTAAAGATCACTATTCAAAAGCCTAAAATAGCATTTATACCCATACCATGGTCCAGTTTCTGACACAAATCAAAACAAATGTCTGCCAACTACTTAATTTTATTCTTCATTAATGCATTGACACATCTCTGCCATCTCCAGCAGTGAGACTTTATTTTTTAACAAAAACTTATGAGAAATAAACAATAACTAGTTGGCCTGTGCGAAAAATTTGCAGATAATTTTGTTTAGTGAAGAAATATTAAAACAATATGGAAATAAGTAGCTCCTATGTATTATGTAAGGAAGGAATTAATTTTTTTTCCTTAGTCGATTACAATATTCCATTTAACATAATAGACCAAAATATTTATACAAATTCCTTTGCTAGAACCTAGTTTTAAACGCTGACTGGAAAGATAATAAAAGTAATAAAGACAAAATAATGCCCCGATCATAAGATATTCTAAATTGTTAATATAAAAGCCAGGAAAAAAAGTGTAGTTGACTATTCTACTCCTAAATGCAATATCTTTAAAGAGGAAGGTATTATTGAGTATACCAAAACTAATGGACTGTATCTTTGTTAATAATTGTCCGAATTTCACAATCAAGAGAAAAATGCATACTTTTTGAGTTATTCACAAATAAAATTTCTTATCTTCCATAACTTTTTTTCCAGAAATTTCGGGGGATTGGACTATTTTTTGCCTGAGAGCTGAGTTATTCCCCTTCAAGGCCGTATAAATAACTTTTTGATTTTACATGTATAAAGAGTAAATAAATAAAAACTCCTAACAGGTTTTTATTTTATAACTTGAGTTCTGAATTATTTAGGAAGTTTTTTTGGCATGGTTTGTGTCATTTTGTGTAGTTTATAAGGGCCTACATCCCTGGAAATTTTCGTGTGAATATGTGGAAAAATATTGAAGTTATAACACTTTTAATGATTTTCGAAATAAAACCAAAATGCCTTAGTTAAAATTTGTAGAAAAAAAAATTATTTTTCGATCCCAATGAAAATTCGTATTCGAGGGTCTTTCGAGCTGCAAAATTAAAATCTCAACTCTGTTTCTCCTTAAAAAAATCTTTCAACACAATTTACTCCTTCCGTCAATACAAATTGTTTAAATTATACATATTTCTAATCAATTTTTACGATTTTTTTTTTGTTTTGTAGGTAATTTAGTAATCTTTCTAATTATCGTGGGTACAATCAAGAGAAAAATGCATACTTTTTGAGTTATTAGCAAATAATGTTTCCTTTCTTCCATAACTTTTTTTCCAGAAATTTCTGGGGGATTGAACAATTTTTCGCCTGAGAAGGAGCAGAATATCTTCAAAATGAGTGGTCAATCATTGGATTTGATGAAGTTATGGCATACCGACAAAAAAACACCTTTTAGAAATAATATATAGGATTTGGCTTTGATTCCAGATCCAATTTATCTTAAATAAATTGATTACTTATTATGTTTTCTTTGTTTGAATAGCTAAGAATATACTACACAATTAGCAATTTTTATATTTACTTTCTTCTCCAAAAAGCTTTAACTAAAATTTTAAATAAAATATTTAATTGAAAAGTTCCAGCAACAAAATAACTGAAAAACAATTGAAAAGATTCCAGTGGTATCAGAACTGATTAAAAATAGAAGTTTAACATTTCATTCCATGCCCTGATTGTTACTAAAAATGTTTAACTAATTTTTTTTTATTTTGTTAATTGCTATGTTTTATCACTGAGTACCTTAAATAGCAAATCATTCATAACAATGATATTATGAATGAAATGACTTTCTGTTTGTTCTATTGTTACTAAAAACTTTTTAGCTAATGTTTTTTATTTTGTTAATTACTATGTTTTATTACTGAATACCTTAAATAGCAAATCATTCATAACAATGATATTATGAATGAAATGACTTTCTATTTGTTTTATTGTTATTGTTATGTAGTATTAATTTTTTTAATCATAAGTGAAGAAACATTCTGATTTTTATGTATTGCAGTGTAGATTCATTAACTTTTTAAAAAAAAAAAAAAAAAAAATTAAACTCATGTTAGGCAAGTCAAACTATCATATGGTATATAATATTAAGACCAGAGACACAATGGTAGGAATTAGTTAAGTGATGAGTGGTAAAGAAAATAAAGACAACCCTTCTGGAGCTTTCTACAGACAATTTATAGTATTTTATCTCCTTGCTTAATTTTATTTTATATTTAGAAGGGTATATCAAAAATATTTCTATTAATAATAACTAATTATACTCATTGCATACTTCGAAAATTGGAATTAGTACAGATTCCAAACAAACTATATTTATTTATTTTTTTAATTTGTTTTTGTGAAAATGAGATGATAATTTATTCCTTACCTGGGCTTCCCGGAAGGTCTCTCGCTGTTGCTTTAAGTACTCGGCCAAATTCACCCTCACCCAGGCATTCTTCTACCATTAGTCTTCCTCGAGAAACTTCCCACTTAGGGTCTATTTCGTACTGGATAACAGAGTACAATAGGTATTGTAAAATCACAGAAAATAAGTAAATATTAAAAATGAATTCAGCAGATAATTGATGAATGAAAAAATAGATTGAGATAGAGCAGCCAATCTTAACCAACAGTGAACTATTGCCATTTTTAAATCATGATAAGGCTAGGCTTACTCACGAGTACTTAATGAGGAAAGACTCTCCCACTCAATGTCTTTCCTGCGGGGTACCTCTTACAGTGAACCATATCCTAACCGAATGTTATGCATTCCAATCTTCTAGGGATCAACATCTTCTCAGAAATAGCCTTGAAGAATCACTCCAAAAGGACCCCAATGCTATTAAAAACTTAATATTGTTCCTTAAGGAAATCAAAATATTTAACAAAAGTAAGTTTGTAAGTTCCTCTTTAATTTGTAAATATACCTGTTAATTTTTTCTCTTTTAATCATAACTTTTAACTATAATGGTTTTTCAATTTTTCTTCTCGTAATTTTTAATATTTAAATTGTACTTCCTGACTTTTCTTCTTTTAATATTAATTCTGTTTTTTAAACTGTATTTTTAGATTATATTCCTGAAATCATTAGCATTTTATTTAAATGTCCTTGTTAACTGTTAACTTATCATTCTCTAGTCTTTAATGTTTAATTTTAATGGTTCTTGCACTTTCTAATGTTTAAACTGTATTTTTTAACTTCGCCTCTATTAGTATTAATTTTTATTATTTAAAAATGTATTTTTTAGCTTTTATTCTTAATATCATTAATCTTTATTGTCTCTGTTATCTCATCTTCTATTAAATCTTTAAGTTTCAATTTTTATAATTTTAGTTCAATTGTACTATCATAATCATCTGTAATTATTCTTAACTTTTCAAACTTTAAATTGTATTTCTTAGCTATAGTTGAGTTATGTGTGTAGTAATTCATCAAACTGTAATATAGGGCGAAAATGACCCAAGTGGTTGAAGAGCCCAAAACATGTATAAATAAAAAAAAAATCATGATAAAGAATTCAAAAATTTAACTAGGCCTATTCACTTTTTCAAGAAGGAGAAACAGTTTACTTTTACATGTTACAGCTATAAAATAAAATTTTATTGAGATTTATAAGAAAAAAAAGTCTTGAAAACTATTGGGAATACTTTGAATATATACCTAATGAAGTAATTAGAAATTATCTTATTTTGTGACAAAAAGCATTAATAAGGTGTGGAAATCAATTTTCCAATGAATAAAAGTTTTAATTATGTATCTACAACTTATTTCAATAAATTATAAAATTTCAAATACTATTAAGGGGAAAAATGGACTTGATTTAAAAAATTTATTAATTATTAAAATAATTATGTAACAGGAACATGGTGCCTCTAACCTTTTCTGTTGCACATGACCCTTAAATTGTACTAAATAAATAAATTTAATAAAATGTTTCTTATTTACTACTACTGGAAAAGAATTAAAAGTTCTCTATCTCATTCATTAACTCTGATAACTCAGCGCCATATTTTGGAACATTACCAAATGTAGGAAAGTCTAGGAAGAATTCCTAAATGTTACCTTCACTGGTTCTAATTTAAAGGATTCCTAGCCTCCATTCATAAGTTGAATGATTCATTTATTGAATTTGTATTATATAAACATTCATTAAGAATTTCTTTCTTTAATGAACAATGAGTTAATAAAGGCACTTGAGGGAAGCTGTGTTTATTATCAATGAGAATGATCACTGCAATTATGTGAATAACAGAGAGAAGACAGTATTTTCATTATAAATGAGGCCAGAAAAAGTACGTTGACAATGGTATTGGTGACAATCAATAATAAATATTAATATTTTATTTAACGAATTTTCGTAATTTTTTTTTGTTAGTGAATGAGACTGAGCTGGTAAAGTAGGCTCAAGTCATTAATTTTTGGATTTCGATTAAAAATTGTGTCTTACGCAACGCCCTGTTAGAGACAAAAAATGAAAAAGATAGTTCCAAAAAACAAATTCTAACTTTTTTTTTTAACATTTGAACTAAATTATATCAAAAACTAAAATTTGGACCTACACATTGTGAGCTTGAAAAATTTCAGTGTTTCATCCTCTTCGTAATGAGCTATAATTTAAAATTGATTTTTGACAGTCTCATTCAATAACCACAAAATAAAGTGCTGAGCGCGCCTAAAAAGTCCTTTTTTTTCTAATAATAAGTTTTTTTAATTTTTATTTTCATTATTATTTATGAAATTTACAACTGTACAAGTTAATATACATTCAGCAAATGTTAAAACAAAGAAATATATGACAAGGCTTGTAGAGAATCTACCCATTGGTAGCACTCTAATGAAGTATCTAAATTAGGAGATCAGGAGGCCATTTTCTTTTCAGAGGCCTTGGATGATTATCAGGGATCGAGGAGGAAGCAAGGTTAGAAACGAGAGGATTAGGACAGCTCTGAAGTTTATTATGGAAGGATAGATATCTGGATTGGGCCAAATCGGAAACATGTGGAACATTCAGGTCTTTATGGATGATTTCATTTGTTACAAAGTAAGGAGCATTAAGGATTGGATACGATAGGAATTCGATTGTTTAGTGGAGCCACAAAACTGAACTCCGTACGTCCAAATATGTCTTATTATGGTCATGTATATGAGTCTTTTAATAAGTAATATAAGTATTTTATAGTAAGTGCTGAAGTAGTCGGAAACGTCAAGCGGTTTCTTGTCGTTTCAGTTTGGTATGAGGATTCCAAGTTAGACGTTTGTCTAAGTGGAGTCCAAGGTATCGGATTTGCTCAACAGGGATAAGTGGGGTATTATTAAAGGATACTGTAGGTCAGGAAGTCGTAGGTTTACGACTAGTGTTCTTTTTAAAAATTAATAAGACGTATTCGTTCTTTATCAGAGTAAATAAAGGAAAATGTTGGAATTGAAAAGGCCAGTTAATTACTAATCAATATTTTAATATGGCTCGATTTTTAGCCGAAAAGTCGTTAAAATTATTTAAAAATATAAAATAAATTGCTAACCCTCCCCTCATTATTTCGCCCCTTGCATATTGTTTAATATGGATGTAGTAATACTTTTTTTTAAGATAGTATTTTGTTGTACCTGTTCACTGAGGTTATTATTTTTAGAAACAGGTATCAGTCATGCTATGACGGGATTTGAAGAAAAAAAAAAAAATCGCACCTGTTACTACCCGCCTCGACGGAAACCATAAATCCAGGGGTGCCACTTGTTAACATAACAAGGCTACCTTTGTTACGTCGGCGTCCAGTGCCTTATAAGTCAACAAGGCAATATCATTTTTCCAATGTCTTATCCTGTATCGGAAGAATCCAACCCTTTTCTACTTGTTGGCTCATTTATAGGTTATTAGTAAAGCGACGTGGAACAATTTGTTTATCTTTTTCCTGTATTTTTTTTCGTTGTTAGGTATTGTTAATAATAATAAAAAGAAGTTTTTAGCACTATATTAATAAATATCGTTTATCGGGGGTGTTCAGAAAAGGATTTCATTTAGCAACTTACGCCATCTAAATTATAAATCGCGAGACTTTTTGACTTTTATTGTTTATTTTTGAGGAGAGCACATTTCGACGGGGTCATGAATTTTTTGAGTGAAAAGTTTCAAACCAGAGAGTAAGGAGAAAATCACAAAACCACAGTATTATATGATCTTTTTCTAATTATATTTTTGCTTATACTATTTTTAAGAAGAGGAGGGGAATAAAAATTTCTTGAGAGTGGAGGGGGAAGTTCACACGCCATCGACCTTGAGTGGGGGATAGATACCCCTGTCGTTTATATTCTAACATAAAATATATAATTATATTTTTAATTTTGGAATGATGGTTGACTGTAGTGAATAATTAAAGAGAAGGATGGTTCGGGTGATCAATCAAAATACAAAATAGCAAAAATAAATGATGAAGAGAAGAATAGTTGGGGTGATCAGTCAAATAAGAAGGCAAAAATAAATTATAATATTTATTTTGACATTTGCCGACGTTTCGACCTGAAGTTCAGGCCTTCATCAGGGCTAAGAAAAGAACCAGATAACAAGGTATGAGAAACATAAGTAGTGTAGGTAAAAAAATTAAAGTAAAATGCAATTGTTAGAATAATGACAATAGTAAGAACTAAGAGGTAAATAATAATAACTGGTACAAAGTGTGGAACGATGAAGTAAACATAGTCAAAAAGGTGACATAAGTATTGTAAAGGGAATCTTAGAATAAAATGTAAAACAGAAAAATATGAAGTTATGAAGTTAAGAAACGGAAATAAATAGTAAAATTAAGATATTGTGAATAGAATAGTTAGATAGAAAATTGAGATGTAAAGTCTATCAATATGTACAGACAAAGTATCATATAATAAAGAGTTAAAACAGAGAAATGGAGTGAAAGGAAGGAGGAAAGAATCTGAGAAGTCTGAAATAAGAAAGAAGTTAAAATTAAAAGTAAAAATAAATAATTATATGTATTTTGATTGATCACCCCAACAATCCTTCTCTTCTATAATTATTCATAGGAAGTGTACACAAGGTAAAATTTCGTCCTAAAGAAATAGAAACGCTTAAGTAAATGTGCCCTTTGCCATGAATTCCATTGGACAAAACTTTATTATGGTTTGGAGAATATAAAATAAAGTTATACTTGGTTATTTTTTTGTGATTTCATAAAAAAAAAAAAAAAAAATAATAATAATAAAAAATAAGAGCTTCTGAGTTGATTGCAATTTTACCAACACTGTTATTCATTTTTTGGTATTGCAAATAAAAAAAAAGAAAGAAATGTGAAGATTGGCATGAAAATACTGTTAAAATGTCAAGTAAGAGCCTTTGGTGTCATCAAAACCTGGCTTCTAGGGTTCTCCAAAATTACTTTCGCCACTGTTACCTGAGTGTCATGACTTCCAATATCTTAGCTACACTATTAATTATATTAATTAGCCAGACAGCTGGCAGAATGATCTATTATTACTTTCTCATTCCAGATTAATCTGCGTCCTCAATATAGTAGAAGAAAAGTAATAGTATTTTGGGACCTCAATCTTTTCATTTTCATCTTGGAAGATACCAGCCATTTAATTATTTTTATGAAGGTATTCTGAGATAGCGATTACAGTAATTATTACTGGATAATTAGAATTATTTTTTTTTATTATTTCTGAATATTTTTGTTTAATATCTTCCTTTATAGTTTGCAAAAAAAAAATATTTCTTCCCCTGGGGTAAATACTCAATTACATTTAAATACTTTATTAAATTAACTCAGTGAAAAAGAAGATAGTTTTATGTATTATGTATAAAATCTTTTAAGTCACCAATTATCCATAAAAAGGACGTTATATTAAATTTGTTATATTTTAAAAGTATTTTTGTCCTTCTAAATCGGCCCTGCTGTACGGCGTCGCTAGACTCGATAATGTTAAAGCAGGCCACCAAGGTCACAAACACACACACACATACACACTCATATATATTTAAAATCTATGCTAGCTCTTACCTGGTTGCTTGTGATTGGTTCCACAGGCGTACGGGCCTCAGGACCTGGAATCGGCAGAAGAGCGTGTACAGAATACTCCCTGCTTGATTCTCTTCCTTTCTTCCTGAAGTTACAGCCTCTAGAACCAAGCGAGATATCAGAGGGCAAGTTCAGGAATCGGTAAGTATCCTATATCAAGTACTACGTACCTGTAAGCTATGACGTAGACAGATACCCCGAGCACACTGATCACCGATACTCCTACGATGCCGAGTACCATGAAGCATTGGACGTCACACAGCTCAGGACTTTCTGTAAAAGAGAAATCGACCAATTATTCACAAATGTAGATGAAGATTGGATTTTTTGCCTTGCGCACAATCAGCCATTATACAGTTGGTTCCAGCCTTTGGGTTGGTATAGGAAATGTTTCATTTATTTTTTTAATATATTATGACTATTTTTCAACGATATAATAGAATAGAATATATCTAACAATTTTTTTTTTCATATTGTCTAGTCCTTCTCAAATTTACGTTTCAAACTAGACTTTACATAGCTTGTAATTCCCAAATTCCCATACTCACCACAAAAGATTTCATGATAATTTAATAATTCATGACCTTTAATAATTAATGATTCATGACCTAATAATCAATTAATAATAAGAATGGCCGCTACTAACATGCCCCATAACATCACGAGAAGGCTGAAAAGGTCGTGGACAAGAGACATTTTGTAAATTTATTTTATTTTTTATCTAAAACACTGCCATGCAAGAGATACCGTTGAGTATTTTTCTTCCTCATGGCTCACACGTCATTATTTTATTACTTCAAGACAAACAATACACCGATTGTCAATGATATATTCGACAGATGTTAGTGTCAAAATAAAGTTTAAAAAAAGTTGTTCTATTCTCTTCTGATTTTAATATTTTTTTTTTTTTTTTACAGTCCTTCTATTTGAAGGATTAAATAATTCTATTTTCTAGAATTTCATATGTAAACTTCTAATAAATAAATTATTATTTTCTTCAATCTCATTTAATGGATCAAAAAATTTAACATTTATTTGGTTACCAAATTCAGTCACTGTTAAGATAAACTAATGCTCAATTCTCGATGCTGTAAAATTTTAACTGTATGCGGGGAAATATTTTTTAAGTTATGGTGCTCTATTCCTCAGTTCCGCTTTTATAATAATGTTATAAATGTATATTTTTAAACGAATTCTCAAATCACGCGTTATGGAGGTGTCTCAGCATGAAGTATTTTGTTGACACTGAATTCAGAATATTTCATCATACCGATAGGTTTAAAGTTATTGGAGAGTTTTAAGTGTTGCTCCAATTCAATATCTGGGTGATCAATATTTTTGACGAAAGGATTATTAATACACAAGTATATTCTGGAAGAGATCAAAAAAATAAATAATAACAATAATAAAAATCTGGAGTGTCTACTCATACGACTTTCCTAACGATTTTAGACAAATTAATACTTTAAATATGTCCATTAAAAAAAAAAAATAGAGTAATTTTCCTAAAAACAGCCCAGAGAAATGATAGAAAGTGCGATTTCTTTGATGCACTAACGTAATGTAAACTGGCAAGTGAGCAATTTTTAAAATCAGCTTGTTAAATTCAATTCAATGTAACTTTTCTGAAAGTGGTCTGATTTAAACAATTTCTTTTAGCTTTGTCAGAAATGTAATTATCTTTTTTAAAAATAAGAAAAAAATCGTTTTTGTGCTACAATCTATAAGTAAAACGTGTTCTTTTATTGGACAGCCGCTATTGCGTAAGGAGCGACAATTTGTTTCAACCCTACAATATAAAAAAAAAAAAAGAGCATCAAAATCAGTCTTCTAATTACTGAGATCATGTTGGCACATATGATAGATGATTATTCGTTTAAGTCCCCTTATATATACAAATTTTAATATTTATATAGTTGTAATCTATGCAATTAAATATTAAATAATACCAACAATAGCATTTATGAAAACCGCATATATATATATTTACATAATATTGTCGCAGTCCTTATTGTATTAAGCTCATGTTACGTATGGAAGCGTGTTCTAATCTTTCGGGCGAGCTCGGATGCACTCGTATTCCTTTGATACCTGAATTACACCTATTCTCCGTTACGATCTCTATTATCTCCTTTAGTTAATTATCAAAGTCTTATATATTTTATATTTGAATATATTTTATATTATAAATTAATGTAAAACGGCCAATTGCTTCAAATAAAAAAAAATTAAAGGTACTTTAGGGGAAGCTAATATTGAAAATTAGCCATTTAAGCCCGGCTAGAAAACATCAATCAGAATAAAAACTACAGTTTATTTAAAACTGCTTAATTTTATACTGATACTATGAATTTAATCAAAATCGTTATAGCTGTTTTCAAGGAAATCGTAAAAATGTTTGTAGCTCATGAAATAAAATGCCACTTCCATAACCGATTTTAATGAAAAAGTAGCTGTAACATCCCAAGCATATAGAGACCTTAAATATGTAATTTCACTTTCGTTAGACTTTTCGTTTTTGAGCTAGACTATTAATACACACACACAGACAATTTTGCGGGACTTGGTTATTTGGACTCAGGAGACATCAAAACATGTATTTTCGTTGAAAACTGAGATTCAGAAATTTTCACGATCGCAATACTTACCCTTACTATATATTTCATATATAGGTAAGTGAATGTAATACCCTTACTATATATTTGATATACAGATAAGTGAAACTAAAAATTGGTTTTCAATCCTAGTTTAAGATTTGAGTCTGACATGTAAATTGCACCTTTTTCTTATTCTTTTTCGTTTCATGAATATTATATGATAATTTTTTAATCGAAAAAGTTACTTTTTTCTTCTTAGTTGGTTATATTATAAAATCAAATGTATAAAATAAACTAGAGCTTAGGTAACGTTTATTCTGAAGCTGTTTTAAGAAGCTGTTTCCTATGGAAACGGAACCGTTTGAATAAAACATGGCTGTTCTTTTATGTCGGCCCTTATTCTGAGAAACTGTAAGAAAATCTGAAATTCCGTTTGAAGTAGAACATTCAATAGTCTTTTTAATATATTTTTGTTTATACAGACAAACAAGAATGAGTCCAACACGTTCACTATTGGTCGAAAGAAGTTGATCCATGTGTAAGTATATATTTTTCATTAATGGACCACAAGTGGTAGACTGAGGCACGAAATGCCCAGAAAGAGAAAAAAATATGTTTTCATTAATGAGTGCAAACTAAGCGGAATGATGGAACGCTCTAACTTTTGAGCTTGTAAGAAATTATTCACATTAATCAGTAAGCTAATTCTTATTACAGTCTTTGATTGATCTTTCAAACTCACTCAGATCAACTTGCTTTCAAATGGATTTACAAGCGCTACGATTATTTTCCACGAAATGCATTTTATTTACACGACAGTTTAAAATTATTATTTCTTGTATTGATCAAAATTAAAAATACTTTGAAGACTGATATACTCCTGCAAGAGTCTTCAAGAGAGAAGGGCGTTCGATAAAATGATTTTTCTCCATGGTGTTTATTATCTAATTACGCCATTTGGAAAGTATTGCGATCAAGGAAAACTTGGACTTCCAACAGAAATTTAAGGTTTATGGCCAAAGTCATACGAAACTGAATTACATATTTGAAATAACGATATACCTGTGATTTTGCAACAACCTTTTTTTACTATAATTATTTAATCTAAAGTGTTACATTATATCATTGAATTTACTTTTTTTATTTATTTATTTTAATTTTATTCATATATTCCGGGACTTCACCTGGATAAGAAACTGACATGAAGAACTCGCACTACATTGAAAAGAAAACAATTGATCAAACGATTTGGACTGTTGTTCAGGCTACTTGCTAGATGCTCCAAATTATCCTTAACTGCAAATTAATTATAAAACCGTTATGGACTTATGTGATAGAGAGCTATGGGGTCTAAAAAGTCGAACATCCACTGACTTCAAACTTTTCAATCAAAATTATGCGAAAAATTGCTAACGCACCTTGATATGTAACAAATGAGTTATTACACTAGGACTTCGGCATTCAACCGGTTTCAGATACTGCAACACTATATTATAAAAACTTCCATCAGATACCGATCCCTTTAGCCCAAACAATTAATTCCACCACAGATCCGTACATCCCACTACGACTTTTAAGGTGGGATAAGCATAAAATAAGAAACTTTCTTACTTAATCTCTACCCGAAAGTGTATAAATTTACATATTGCAAAACATACTTTTCAGATAGCAGATTCACGAATCATGGAAGATTAAATACTTATAATAATAAATAAATAAAATAATTTACTTACTAATAATTATTGTCACAGTATTTTATGTTCTGGTTTGAGTACGATTGTCCGGCAGATAATTTTATATTCTGTTAAAACAGCTGTGAATCGCCTCCAAGGGTCAGAAGACTAATTAACCTTCTGAGCCCATAATTCGTTTGATGGGTTATAAAAGTACAGTTAAATAAATATTGTTCATAAAATTATTGATTAAAATATTAATTATAATAAAAGAATTTTGTTTTTCATCCCATAAAAAACACAGTGGTGTATGAAGAACAATGTTACAACTTTAGTGACTTCGTGTTCCAGGTTTATCAATTTCAATATTCTTCTCCTCTTACTATCTATATCTTCGTCGAAAATATAATTATTAGGGTTAAGTAAAATGATCCAAATAGTTTATAGAATTTATTTAATGATAATAATAATAATAATAACAATTTGATCCGGCAACATCTATCGGTCAATGCTAATAATAATATAAAAGTTTTACACAAGCTTAATATTTTTTTTTAACACTTTAAGAATAAGATATAAACTTATATTAATTAATAAAGTACAATAATAAAATATCAGAGTATAATTAAGATCATATATACATAAGAATAATAGAAGAGGAAGACACTTCGATCGAATGAGGGAGGTGTGGAAGAAGAGAAAAAAATTAGGACTAAATGATATTCACATGATCCTGAGTGAATAAACAATTCAGTGAAACTGTTGAGAGGCCTTTCTCAAGACTAAAAAATAAAAAATAAAAAAAGAACAAGAATAGGAGTATATGACTAACGTAATAATATAAGAATAAAGTCTAAATAATTAATATTTTATGAGATATGTTTAATGATTGTGTTATATTTTATTTTACATATTTGACGAAGATACTTATTATTTCCAAAATTATTTATCCCGTATTATGGCTAACAATCAGCAATAATTATAATTATAATTATATAATAAT